GTTACAGGGGTGGGCAAACTTTTTGACTCGAGGGCCACAATGGGTTCTTAAACTGGACCGGAGGGCCGGAACAAAAGCATGGATGGAGTGTTTGTGTGAACTAATATAAATTCAAAGTAAACATCATTACATAAAAGGGTACGGTCTTTTTTTTTTTTAGTTTTATTCATTTCAAACGGGCCGGATCCGGCCCGCGGGCCGTAGTTTGCCCACGGCTGCTCTAGTGTCTAGGAGATCTGTCTGCCACCAGACTACTATTCCCAGCATTCCTGGTGCTCCCCACACTCTGGGCTTCTGCTTCCGGTCCTGGGGCTGCCACCAGAATTATTCCCAGAATTCCTGGTGCTACCCTCACTCTTGGTTTTCCCTTCCTGCTCTGTCTCCGTCCCATGGCCTCCCACTCTGCCAAGACCTCCAAGCTGCCAGCTTTCACTCTCTGCTCTCCATCTGGCTAATTGAGGAACCAAGTTCCCCAAGCCGCTCCATTACTCTGCTGGCTCTCCTGCTCTGCTCTCCACCTGGTGGCTTGTGGGGAGCGATTGAGGGAGCCAAGGCCCCCCCAAGCTGCCGGCTCTCCAGCTTTGCTCTCCACCCAGTGCCTGTGTATGCAAATTAACCTGCCATCTTTGTCAGGTTAATTTGCATACTCACTCCTGATTGGCTGGTGAGCATAGTGGAGGGACAGTCAATTTACAGGTTTCTCTTTTATTATATAGGATAGATGGCTGCTTCTGCAATGTGCTGTTTGGTTATCATTACACTTTTGTTCAGTACCATGGTATTGGTAAGCTCATCTTTAGTATACGTTTGGAGGAAATCTTTTTCTAACTAAAGGCCCTGTTTTTCCACAGAAGAAACCCTGTCTGCCTCTGTCACCAACCAGCCTAGCCATCAGAAGGAAAATGTCATACCGTTACTTGTGACAAGTAATTCTGACCAGTTCCTGACAACTCCAGATGGTGAAGAGAAGGACATAACGCAGGAAAACTCTGAACTGAAGCACAGGTCCTCAAAGAAAGATCTGTTGGACATAGACAGGTTCACAATTTGCGGAAACCGAATTGACTGAATTCTGCGGCTCCCTGTGCCAAGCGCCGAGGCCTGGGGCAGCCACAGTGCTGCCAGGGTGGACAGATGCGAAACGTGGCACTTATATATTTATTTAAAACTTAAATTATTAACAGAAAGCAAATCTGAGTAGCTTTCTTCCAGTAATGTGGCCTGGTTGAAGGTCAGGTCATGGAAAGCAGTGACCTCCAGCCTGGATGGCGTGGGGAGCCCGTCTTCCCCCGAGAAGCAGCAGTCACTCCGGCCCAATGGGAACAACCTCAGCTCGGTCCGTCTGTGCTTCCAGAACATCTGCTCTGGCCGCCGGCCTCTGCAGTGTAAGGGGATCTACCTGGGAAACAGAAGCTTTCCCTACAACGTTACCTGCCCTGTCCCATACTAGTTCCACAGACAGTTTCAAACTGCTTCATCTGCCAAAGCATTTAAAGAAGTAATTACACTTAAGTCAAGATAAATATTCTCACCACAGAATAATCCTGGAAGATGTATCTGAATTAATCAGAATAAAAGGCTACCTTAAATAAGACATGATGAATAGTAGCATTTTATAGGGGAAAACAAGCCCGAAGCCATTTTGTCTATTTAAAAAATATTGATTAATGAAGGTTATGCATCACTGAGAATATGTTTATAATTTTTCAGTTTACTCTTTAAAGCAAAATGTGAGCCGTGTATTGTTTAATTGCAGTGGATGAAATAGAAATTACCTTACAAAGACGTACTTTTTATACTGAAAAAAGCAGAGCAGGGTTAACTTTAATGTATAGATAACTGATTACACTTTAAAACTAATTACTTCATCAATTGTTACAGTTAAAAGGATTTGGTGTTGAATCGGCTAAAGAATTGTACTCAATTCAAAGGTGTCAACCTGTAACTGAGATTTTTAAGTGACAATTTTAAAGTAAATAAGTGGATTGAGCAGCCGTCTTGCTCAGGCTTATAAAGTGCATTAGCCTTTCTGTCTGGAGTGCCTGTGCCTGTGCCTGGGCTGGCCTGTGTCCTGTGGGAGCGTCTGTGCGGGGACGGCACTGCCTGGTGTGCCTGCGCTGGGGGAGGAAGCCAGTGAGGGGTGTGGGTGGCTGACTGGGAGTGGGGACGAGTTTGTGTGTAGATGTTGGGAACAGCAACCAAAAGGTGCTTTTTGGTGGTTGAGGTCAAGATTCCATGTCTGCTTGCTTATTAGTTTGTGGCCTGCCTCATAAGACAAGCTGTTTCCCACTCCATTTTAGCTTGAGAACCCTTCCTGCATCTTTATAAAAATTCTGCAGCCTCCAATTTCAGAGTGTCCAGATGTCACTGTTCTTTCCTTTGACCTTTTCATTCTGAAGTTCGGCTCCTGTGCTGCTATTTCAGGCACATGATGTGCAGAGGTAAATTTTAGGGGGTTTGTTTCCTGGGTGAAACGTAAAGCTAGCTTGAATGCTTTGGCTTTTCATGTGACATACAAGTGAATTTTAATGTTTTGCATTAAGTGAAGAAATCTGAAGGTTAATGTTCACGTGGGATAAAAGGAAACTGTACAGAAATGCTTTTGTGAGACCGCGAAGTACTTCGCGTTAAAAATGAAAAGACTTTTAAGTTGCTTTGTGTGTTTCAATGAAGCACCATTTTAGGATTACTTTTTGTTCTCATCTTTTCTTCTCCACCAAAAAGAACAATGTCCACAATGAATAGGAATAGTTTTGGGGAAAACTTTGCCAAACAGAGCCCTAATCAGAGCAAGAATACGACGGGTGTATCTTTCACTTCAGCTCGAATTATTCTGTGACTGTGCTGTCAATTCCGCAAGATTTTAATTTCCTTTGCAGGATATATTGGGAGTTCGGAATGATGTTCATTTCTTCTGTCAAAATGGCATTCAGTACTAATTTTATAAGTGCATCTTGTGTGAAACTCAATAAATTCAATTTTGTAATCTTTTTTAAAAAGGTCACTGAATTTATTTTCATGATGTTTACTGTTATATTTGGTAGAGTGAATTTCCCATTCTGTAAGAATTTATTTCTAATTTACAAGTGGCAGGACTAATTTGAATTATTCTTTTGGTCATAATGGTGGCAAAATGTTTGAATTTGTCTTTAGGAAACAAAAGGCTGAGTCTCTATCATAGACCGTTTAATATCTGTCAGTACATGAAGGGACCTGCATTTTACAAGTGTTTTGAATGTCACACAATATGCTTTTCACATCTGGGAGTTAAGACAGGACTTTGGGCCAGCCAATGTGGCTCAGTGGTTGAACATCAACCTATGAATCAGGAAGTCATGGTTCGATTCCCAAGGCACATGCCTGGGTTTCCACCTCGATCCCCAGTAGGGGGCGTGCAGGAGGCAGCTGATCAATGATCATTTCTCATCATTGATGTTTCTATCTCTCTCTCACCCTTCCTCTCTGAAATCAATAAAAATATATATATTTTTTAAAAAAGACAGTACTTTGGTTTTAAAAATAATCTCAGCCACAACATAAGGTCAGACTCTTACTAGCTTTCCTTTGGAGTTGAAATGTAACACAGGGTCATTCAGGAGCTTGTGCAGATCTTCTTGGTACTTGGTACTTTTGTATTTTGTCCAGCATGTGGATGTTATATTCTTTACACATGGTAGAACCTTTTTATCATTAGGTCCTCAAAAATATTCCTTCTGCTCTCGGTGACTCAGCAGAGCACACACATCACAAAATAATTTAAAACCACTGCATTGTGAAATGTCTCAGCTTTATTTTTTCTTTCAGTGGAGATTGATTAATCGCCCGTGTGTCAGGACTATTGGATGCTGCGATCAGCAGTGGACAAAGTCCCTGTCCTCCTGGGGGAGGCCCATAGCAAACGCGTCAGCGAACTAGTGTGCTGGAGACAGCTAAGCCCAGGTGGTCTCCGCTTGGTTTCATTCTGAAATAAATCCAGTTGTTTAACATTTTTATGTAAGTTAAGTCTTATTTTTTTTCTATTGAATTTGCTTAAAAAAGATAACTGAGTAGCAGTTTCAAGTGCCTCTATAAAGTACAAAGAAATAAGAAAATGCTCCTTTACTGAAGACCCTGGTTGTCCACACAGACAGAGTGCTAGCTAGGCACTGAGCTGTCCAGTTGGGGACTGCTTTCCCGAGTCCGTCCTGCTGTTCCACGTGGCCAGGGGACTAATCCTCACCGAGGGATGGAAGTTGAAGGGGTGTATGCCATTTCAGGTCCCTTCCACCTTCTCTCTGCTTCCCACCAGCTGGAACCCAGCGGTGTGCCCTCAGCCAGCCATGCAGACAAATACTTGGCGCTCTCAGCACCCAGGGAAGGAACCTGGGTCCACGGAGGCCTCTGCAGAGCCTTCTGCACAGCTCTGCCTACAGCAAGAGAGCAACGCATGCCTTCGTTTCCAAGCCACGGAGTGTGGAGGGGCTATCACAGCCCATGTCCATATGCCAGGGACTCTGAAAGGGCCCAGTGAGAGATCTTCATATAGAAGGAGTGAGGGTTAGGCCTGACTCTCTAAAACCTGTGCTTCTGAAATACTCTTGGATTCACGTTTGCTATTGTTTTTAGGGAAAAAGATAAAGATGACTATGTGGTCAGCCTCCCGGCACCCTGGTCCGTCTTAAGCTGAACATTGAGCATGCTCATCAGTGGCACAGTCCTCTTTGATCAGATGCTCTACCAAACAGCCATGCCTTGCCCCTTCTTCCTCAGGAAAGTGGGGTGCACAGTCACAGAGCAGATGAGTATAGCCCGCCAGCACAGAGACGTGGAGGCAAAAGGACTTCATATGTCCAAAGAGCAGCAGTGGACTTCCTCCACTCATGGTACGTGTCTGAGTGCCTGGCAAGTGCCAACCCACATGCTGAGAACACTTGAAAGGATAGCTTTGTTCTAGGGAAACCAGAGGAGGAGGCAGGGGCTGGATCTTGGAGAGCTTTTAATGCCTTACCAAGAATCCTGGGCTTGATCCCATAGGCAATGGGGGAGCGTAAGTGGAATCTGAAGTTGGATTGCGGTAACTACCAAATGAGAGGATAAATGGAAAAAACGACTGTAAACTATAAAGTGTTACATAACTTGTTCAAGATCACACAGGAACACCCATCAGAGCAGAAGTGAAACCCCATCCATTCCTCTGTGCTGTATGCTGCTTGTGAGAAGAGGGGGAAGCACAGACCCCCTAAGGAGGCAACTGCCGTAATTCATGCCAGACTAATAGGACTTGGGGTGTAGGGCACAGTGACCTTGTGGATATCAAATGTGTAGGATGTTCACTCCTCCAGGAAGTACAGGAGAGGGCCAGCTGGTGTTGGAGCCAGGACTTGCTCTGTGTGACACAGCAAACCTCAGTCTGCTCATCTGTAAATTGGGCCTAATACCCACTTCTCAGGGTTTGGGGAGGAGCAAAAGAGAATGCATCTGAAACTTGGGTTACGAATGCCACAGTACTGTACGAATCCACATTGTGTTGACCATCATTGCCTGAAGCCTCAGAGCCTAGTTCAGTGGTCCTCAAAGAGTGGTCCCTGGACCAGCAGCAGCCCAACATCTGGAACACGTTACACATGCAGGTTCTTGGTCCCACCCAGACCTGCTGAGTCAGAAACTGGGAGGGGGCCCAACCACCTGTGTTTACGGCCCTCCAGGGGATTTGCACGCATGTTCAAGTTTGAGAACCGCTGGCCCCAATCTGGACCTGAGAATTAAGGGGCCAAAAACAGCTCCATCTGCTTCTCCCAGGAAAGATTGGAGAGACGAAAATAGAATCTGGGGCCAAATTCTGTTTCTGACTAATGTCGTTTGCTCAAGGCCAGGTAACTGGACAGAACCAGGGGTTCCAGATGTCCTCAAACGCCAGCGCTCTGCCCACCATACCCTCAAGGCTCCACCCCTCCCACAGCTGTGGAACCTTCCAGACTAGCCATGCTGAGCCCACAGAGCACTGGGTCCAGGCACCACATGATGCTCCAGAGCTCTGATCACCAAGCCAAGATGAGGACGGAGGAAAGGACACAGTCCACCAGGTGGAGCAGGTGAGCACCAGCACCCTTTGTGAGAATTCCTTTGGCTCTCAGAGTGTGATCTCTGCTGTAGGATCCTGAGATGGAGCACACAAGGCAGGCAGGGTTCTTCTCTTTAGAAGCATATATTACAGTGGAGAAACCAGAGAATACACGTGGGAGCAGTTGAGGTTTGAGGAGGTTGATGGATGCTGTGGAGAGAACAAGGTAATATGATAATAGGGACATGATGCTTTCCTGACACTGGCCGGTCAGGGAGGCCTCTAAGAGATGATACATTCCTGGCCAGTGTGGCTCAGTGGTTGAGTGTTGACCTATGAACCAGGAGGTCACAGTTCGATTCCCAGCCAGGGCACATGCCCGGGTTGCAGACTCGATCCACAGTGTAGTGTGCACAGGAGGCAGCTGATCAATGATTCTCATCATTGATGTTTCTATCTCCCTCTCTGAAATCAATAAAAATATATTTTAAAGAGAAATAAAAAAAAAGTGATAGATACGTGAGCTGCGAAGGAGCCTCATTCAGGCAGAGACCAGCAGTTCAAGCTGCTGGGAGAGAGTGAGCAGGTGTTTTCCAGCAGCTGCTGGGTGAGTATCTGATCGTAATCAGTGCTCGTCCTGACATAAACTAGTCCCCCTCTCAGCCACCCACTGAGCTGGATCCTGGGACAGGTCAGTGTCCTGACCTGGTCAAACAAGTCAAGTAATTTTGTGCACCTCGTAGCATCCACGTACTAGTACCCGGGACTGCCCCCAACCCTTTACCTTATTCCTCAACTCTGGCCAAGAGGTGCAGACACCCATTTCATCCTGCAGCTGCCCAAGGTGTGCCTTGTACATAAGTTTCCCTAATAAACTCGGTCAATTACCAGAATGGAGTGTCCAGCCTCTTTCTCCCGTCTTTCCCTGCCCTCTGCTTTTGGAGGTAGAGTTTCAGGCCAGGGGTCTTCTCTTGGGTCTGTGTGTACTAACAGATTTCAACATATACATGGGGGAGGGGGGTGGGGAGAGGCACACACATTCGGCCCATAGCAGAGAGTTACCCTGGGTCAGGCGTTCCCAGGCCCAGCTTCCAGCAGCCTTTCCTCCCAGAGTGCATTTCTCCACCCACAGGCCGACCCACCACAGGGCATGGAGAGCATCGGACATATTGGGTGCTCAGCATCCTCTCACTCCCCTTCATCGTCGGGGCCCCAACAGGCTGAGGACACAGCAGTCGGGCATGAAATGATCCCCATTCTGTCTAGACTGGACACAAGACCCCCTAACAGGAGGGCTGGGCTCAGCCTCCTTTATGTTCAGAAGTGAAGCACCTCTGTTCTCACCGGTGGCCTTTGCCGTCCACTGAAGGAGCACTCCACCGCGTCTTCGATGGTGCCCCCTCCTGATATCACAGTGAAATCCGGCTCCTGTTCCTTTGAGGTGTCAGCTTCCTTGTCATGAAGGTGATGGTTGGTGATGATGGACACAGAAGGGGTCCCATTCCCATGATGCCTTTGCGACTCTGCCCGTAAAGGGGAGATTATCTAACACATTTTGTGGACACTGCAGAGATGTGTACTCCCTGAACAAAGGAATCTTACTTATTATCTTCCATTCATAAACTCAACAAACGAAGCAGGAAGACAACCCCCTCCCCCACCCCCCCAAAAAAAAATCACTGCACTGTGTTGCCTATGAGCATGGCCTCTGAGACTCACCGCGGTATTTTCTGGAATGATGCTGTACTAGGCATGTGTCTTTATGTGCTACCTTGAGTCCTTGGGAGATGGTGGCCAATAAAGAATTAATAAACAGAAACAAAACCTCCATTCTCTGGCAAAGTTGGGCTCCCCTGGACTGCCAGCTGAGAGAAACAAATGATCATGAAGTGATGATGCTAACCCTTGTATTTTGGGGGGACCTGATACTTTCTGGACTGTGTTCCCATCCATTGCTTAATGGAGGAAATCAGCTCAATGACTCTCATTTTTCCAAGTAGGAAAACAAGGCTTGGGAGGTTGGACAACCGGCCCTGCACACCTGGCTAGTGATGGAGACAAACCCAGGCCTCTTACCCACCACCCTGAGTTAGTCCCAGGGTCCCCTGAGGAGAACACCCTCCTACCACTGAAAATTAAACTCCTAGGATCACCTAATTAAACCTGCATTAATGAGCTGTCATTTTAGCACAGGTGACTGCTCTTGATGTCGTCTTTCCTCCTCTTTGCAAAAGTCCTTTTACTTCCCACTATTTAATTGGGTCGCACAACAGCCCCCTGGCAAGGGCTGACCTGGTTTAAAAAAGCTGAGGCTGTGGCTGTTCAGCGCAGTAAAGAGACCCTAACTGTGGATTAGAACCTTCTCTGTGTCCATGAACTCAGCCTCCACTCAAAAGGCAGCCTCCTAGCCCCTGGGGGTCACCCTAGACCGGGCCATTTCCCCTCTGCTGTTTGTATCAAAGGATAATAAGCTTTTATTTTTTAGTAGACTAGCCATTTACAGCTCACCAAGAGCCTGCAACCACAGCCCATGGGCTGTTTGAGGGGCCTGCGAGGTTGTAAGGAGTAGGACTCGTTTGTGTTTGTGGGGGTTTCTCCCCACGTCTGGACACCACTAAAGGACTGTAGGTGCTTCAGTTCCTTCATCCTGCACTCACATTTCTGTCATGTCTACTTTTATAGGTAAGACTTCGAGGCTTCGGGGGAAGCAGCAAGTTCAAAGGAACACATTCCCAGGATTGGACGAGCAGTAGGGAGTTGGAATTCTTTCAAAATGTAATTTCTCGCAAAACTGCCATTATTTGAGCTAAAGCCAACAAACTGAGACCCTGTGGTCTCTAGAGAAATTTTGCACCCCTGACCCTTAACTACCTAGAAGATCTTAAATTAGTGGCCCATAATGAGAGATGATCAGAGATAACCTTCTGACCTATCAGTAGGGCAGGGCAAACTACTAATTACTGAACACCTGTTCTTGTCCTGAGAACGTCCTTCCTCCTCTCTGGAGCCCCAGGGCATCTAACCACACACCTGGCTCATAATTTGATATGTACCTATTCCCCCCCTTTTTTTTCTTCATTGATTAAGATATTACATATGTGTCCTTATCCCCCCCATTGCGCATACAAGCCCTTTGGTTGATCTCTCCCCCTTCCCCTCACCCTCCCCTACCTTCCCTCTGAGGTTTGAGCATCTGATCGATGCTTCTCTGTCTCTGGATCTGTTTTTGTTGTTCATTATAATCCACAAATGAGTGAGATCATGTGATACTTATCTTTCTCTGACTGGCTTATTTTGCTTAGCATAATGCTCTCCAGTTCCATCCATGCTGCTGCAAATGGTAAGAATTCCTTCCTTTTTACAGCACAGTTTTTTAATCCACTCATCTGCTGATGGGCACTTAGACTGTTTCCAAATCTTAGCTATGGTAAATTGTGCTGCTATGAACATAGGGGTGCATATATCCTTTCTGATTGGTGTTTCTAGTTTCTTGGGATATATTCCTAGAAGTGGAATCACTGGGTCAAATGGAAGTTCCATTTTTAGTTTTTTGAGGAAACTCCGTACTGTTCTCCACAGTAGCTGCACCTGTCTGGTTCCCTTTACTGTCTCGGACCCACTCGTGTGGCTTTCCATTTCCTCGCCTTTCAGAATGTTGCAGAAGCCATTTCTCACCCAGTTGGTCAATTCTGCAGTAGTAAGAGTATTAACCATGTCTCTTATTTTGTATTTTTTTAAATATATTTTTATTGATTTCAGAAAGGAAGGAAGAGGGAGAGAGAGATAGAAACATTAATGATGAGAGAGAATTATCGACTAGCTGCCTCCTACATGCCCCACACTGGGAATCCAGCCTGCAACCCGGGCATGTTCCCTTGACTGGAATCGAACCCGGTATCCTTCAGTCTGCAGGCTGATGCTCTAGTCACTGAGCCATATTGACTAGGGCTCTTATTTTGTTTTGTTTTGTTTTAATATATTTTTATTGATTTCAGAAAGGAAGAAAGAGGGAGAGAGAGATAGAAACATCAATGATGAGAGAGAATCATTGACCAGCTGCCTCCTACATGCCCCACACTGGGGATCCAGCCTGCAACCCAGGCATGTGTCCTGACTGGGAATCGAACCTTGACCTCCTGGTTCACAGATCGACGCTCAACCACTGAGCCATGCCGCCAGCCGGGCTTATTTTGTACTTTTGATGCTTTGACACCTTGAGCCTTGTTGACTCTGGAGGGATTGCCCTTCCCAGAGCTGGAAAATTCTAGCAAATGGATGACTTGTGAATCCAGAGCCCGTGCCCTCAACCACTTCTTCTCTAGGCTCTCATATGCAAGGCCAGGCACTAGACAGCTAGGGTCAGCCCCTGTGTCCCAGAGCCCACTGCAATTACTCTCACTCGCCACCTCCAGGCTTGTGAAAACCATGGTAGAGGCTCTTGTCCACATTTCTCCCTTGTTCCCTCTGCCTCCTGATGACCTTGGCCCTGTGTGGCCCCGAATAGTGTCCCTCGCCTACTGTTTCCAGGGATCTGTGAGGATAATATGCTTCCTCATGACAGTCACTTCCATGATGGTGTGTCTCACAAACCTGGTTAAACAAATCCCAGCTACTCTTCAAACACTTCTGGAAACCCAGTCTAGAGCCCCTGTCCTCAACATCCTTCAGATAATTGGGTAAGCACCTAATTTCCTGCACTGTCTTGCTGCTGGTCTAGAAACCACTAGAGGGTTTTTGTTGCCTGCAGTTACCCTTAATGGTAAGCTACTTTCCCCATACCGGCCAGGACAAAGGCCCACAGTCTGGCCTCAGGCACCCAAGCCCTGCAACAGGTAGCTGGCTCTACCGACACTGGCAGCTGGCCCACAGCCCATAGGCTCAGAAGTCTTTCTCTCTCTAAAAGCATTTCCCCAAACACAGAACATTTCCCGGGCCAGTGTGTGACCTATTTTGGCCAGCCTCCAAGCAAAGCTGTTGCCTAAAAGAGTGTTTGAAATTCCTTGAAGCCTGGATCACTTCCCTGCAGTGACCTGGGCTCCAGGTTAGGTTTCAGTCCCTGGAGAAGAGGAATGCAAGACTTCTGAGAAGCTGAGCTGAGTGTTCTGGGAAAGCCCAAATGGATGGTGGGATCTTGTTCTGTTCATTTTCAGATTGCAAAAAATATTCCAGTCCAATCTCAACTCGAACTTTCTTTTGTCTTCTTTTTCAGCTCATATCTCATTCGAAGCAGTGGCCCTTTCCCCAGCTCAGGTGGGACAGAATGGTGTGTGCCCTTAAGCTCATCTCTTTCCACCCCTCTCCCCCATAGGCCTTGCTGTGCCTGGCTCCTCCGGAGTCTGGGGAGAAGCATGGGCAGAGGGAGAGATGTGACAACAGGGAAATCCAGTTGAGCTCCTGTTGGAATGAGTACCTGGCCCCTGAGACCTGATATGTGGTAGATGCCCGGAGGTTGGCCCTTATGCTAATTTCCTAGGATGGTCCTCACAAAGTACCACAAGCTAGGTGACTTATGCCAACAGAAATTTATCCTCTCACAATTCTAGAAGCAAGAAGTTCAGAATCAAGGTTTTGGCAGAGCCGTGTTTCCTCTGAAGTCTCTTGGGGTGAATCCCACCTTGCTTCTTCCAGCTTCTGGGGGCTCCAAGCATTCCTTGGCTTGTGGCAGCATCCCTCCAGTCTCTGTGTCTGTCTTCACATGGCCTTTTCCTGTTTCTGTCGTAGGAGGGCGCTCAACAAACAGCCACACCAGCCAGGGCAAATTTCCCTATTCTTATAAGTACACAGGACTGCAGCATGGCCTCATCTTAACTAATTACTACATTAAGCACACCCCTGTTCCCAAATATGATCACATTTATAGGGGTTGGGGGTTTGAAGGCACAATTCACCTATAAGAGCCCTCTTTCTCTTCTCTCTTTCATGGGGTGCTTTTGTGGTTCTTCAGAGATATCCTCCTCCTCTCATCCCCACTGTTGCCATCCCCAGGGACCTCCTGGTATGGGAGATACATGCTCTGTCTGACCTCTCACAGCTCCTTCTCATCTCTTCATCTCCTGCCCAAGAGTTGACCCTGGAGGTCCCTTGCCTGGCAAGCAGCCCTCTTGGGCAGGGGTTTTCCAGGATGGCTCTAGTCTGGTTCCTTCCTTGGCTTTCCTTGGCGCACAAGAAAATTCACACACCCGTGGCCTGGGCAACCACTGGGGATGCAGGCTGCTCCCCTTGAGGCCCTTCCTCCTCATTGTCACCCAGACGGCCCCAGGGAAGGGGGTGCCACTGCCCTGTGACCTCCATATTCAGGAGGGACCACAGCCCTGTCAACACCTTGGACTTTTTGCCTCCAGAAATGTACAAGAATAAATTTCTGTTATTTTAAGCCACCAAGTTTGTGGCAATTTGTTCGGTAGCCCTGGGAAACTCATACAGCAGAAATTCAGTAAACATTTGCCAAATGAATGAATGAATGCCTCATCCACTGCAGCAATATATGCTCCTTTCTGTGGGATCCTGGAGAGCTCGTTGCAGAGGTTACCCCCAATGGAGGTGGAGGTGTCAGGACCACTGAGTTTAGGTCCCAGCTTTGCTGCTATATGTCAGTTCCTGCTCCTGGCCTCAGTCTCCTCGGTTGGAAGAGAAGGTCTCCAGGGTCCCTGGGGCCTCGGTGACCCAACAAAAGCACTGAAGTGACCAAGAAGACTCTCTCAGCAGCTCTCCAGGCAGCCCTGCAACCCCTGATCTGAGGCCTCAGCTGGCAGAGGGACCCGGGACTTCCTCCGGAGGAGGGCACAGGCTGTGTGCCCAGCAGTGGCAGCTGCTGTGTGTCTGCGTCTGCCCACCCTCAGGGCCTTGTGGTTACCTTAGCAATCCCCTCTCTCCCAGGGCTCCCTGCAGCAGATGGGACCAGCTGGCCCAGGGCTGGGTGAATCATCCCCTGGCTGGGAAACCAACCTTGTGTGTCTCCAAGGACATTATTTCTAGGTTAGGGTTGGGGACAAGAAGCTTAGGGAAGTCACCTCAGTGCCGAAGGCTTGCTTCCCATTGAGTGGATGCAGGGAAGACCCTAGATGCTGCCATATCTCCTAAGAAGTCTGGCTGTTTCCCAAACACAGAGAGGGGAGGTTATTTTTGGAAACTTGTAAAGATCTACAGAAATTACAAACTTCGTATTCTCCTGAGAATACTGTCAGATGGCCAAGTCTCAGCTAATTTCAGCAGGCGTGCATGTGTTTTAAGAGAATTCAGAGCCACAAATATTTGAATTGTAGTTCAGCTGACCTCAGTCCTCTGGCCTTTCCAGTGACTGATTCTTCTTGGCGTGAGTATTGTCCTTGGCAGCTGGGGGGAGCCAAGAGGTCAGCGGGGTAGGTCCTAGGACATGTGAGCGCTGGGATGACCTGGGTGAATCTGGAACATCCTAGATCTCTGTGCCTCAGCTGAGTCATTTGGGGAACTGAGCTCATAGCATCCCCTGTGCCTGCCTCAGGAGGCATCTGGGCAGCAGGGCTTTTGGTAAAGACTTCCTACGAAAGGGCCTGGGGCACCAGAAAAATGGATGGGAAAGCTGGAGGAGGAGGCTTGGTGTGAGGTGAAGGATTAACCTTGCCCAAAGAAAGGTATGGGCTTTGCCTCCAGTCCTGGGAGGTAACCTTAAGTCCTTGGAATGTTCTGCCTGATGAGTGGTGTTTTCACCTGGGGTGGTCTGGGGCTGTGCCAGATGGTCTACCCTAACAATGTGATCTATGGTGGGGCCTTGACCCAAGCAGCCTCAACTTACCCTCCAGAGGGGCTGGATACTGAAGTCAGACATGTGGGTAGTCAGCTGTGTCTACATGGCAGACCCCATAAAACTCTGGACACCAAGGCTTGGAGGATGCCTTCGGTTGGCAATACTGCTTGTGTTGTCTCACATGGTCTGGGAGAAGTGAGCGCTGACCATAAGTCCACCGGGAGGGGACAGCAGAAAGCTGGTACCTGGAACTCCCCTGGCCCCTTCCCTCTTCCCTTTTCTTGTTGCTGATTACAATCTGAGCTTTTGCAGGAATAAACCACAACTGGGAGTATGATAGCTTTGCTGGATTCTGCAAGTCCTTCTAATGAATTATTGAACCTAAGATGGT